GTCTTTCCAACTACTGCTGCTACTGTATATCTTTTCTGGAAATGTATACATTTTTGTGACAGAACAGATGATTCAAACAAATATTGTTCTCTAAAGTGAGTTTCAAGAATATAGTAAACATAGCTGTCTTTGCCATCTGTGCCATTTGTATGTTGTTTGACTGTATTTAGAACTAATAAGTTCAGCAAAGTTGTGGGATAGAAGAGTAATAGCAAAACTCATTTTTATTTCTATATACTAGGAATAAATAATCTAAAAATGTAATTAAGAAGACAATTACATTTACAGTAGCATCAAAAATAGGAATATACTCAGAAAAATGTGCAAGACTTTAGAACTGAAAACTATAGTACATTATCAGAAGAAGTTAAAGAAAGTCTAAATAAATGGAAAGACTGTATCTCATGTTCGTGGATCAGAAGACTTAATTTGTTAAGGTGGCAGTATTTCCCAAATTGGTCAGATTCAGCAGAATCTCTATTAAAATCCTAGTTGACTTTTTTGTAGAAATTGACAAACTGATTATATGTAAATGCAATGGATCCAGAATAAAGAACAGAGCTGTAGGATGCACTACTTTTAATTTCGAAACTTCTACAAAGCTGTAGTAATCAAAACAGTGTGGTACTGGCATAAGGAAGACATATAGATCAATGAAACAAAATTGAGAGGACAGAACTAGACCCTTCCATTTATGTCCAGCTGAGCTCTAACAAGGTGCTGAGATAATTTTCAATATGGAAAGTATAGTCTTCGACAAATGGTGCCGTGACAACTTGATACCCACATGCCCAGAATGAAGATGGACCCTGCAAACCAGAGGGTCGCTGGTTTGATTCCCAGTCAGGGCACTTGCCTGGGTTGCAGGCCAGGTCCCTACTTGGGGGGTGTGCGAGAGGCAACTACACATTGAGGTTTCCCTCCCTCTCTTTCTTCCTCCCTTCCCCTCTGTCTAAAAATAAATAAAATAAAATCTTTTAAAAAATTAACTCAAAATGGATCAAAGATTTAAATCTTAAGCACTAAACTTATAAAACTCTTAGAAGAGAAACATAAATGTGAATCTTAAGGACCGTGGATTACACACTTGAGTTTCTTGTGTGTGACACCAAAAGCACAAACAACAGCAAAAAATAGGTAAATTGGATGTTATCAACTCGTCAAACTTTTGTGCTTCTAAGACTACCATGAAGAAGAAAGTGAAAAGGCAATCCACAGAAAAAATATTAACAAATCATGTGTATGATGAAGTATTTGTTCCTTACAATTCAACAGTCAAATGACAACCCAACCAAAACTAAAGCCAAAGATTTGAATAGACATTTCTCCCAGGAAGATACACAAATGGCCAATAAGATGTTGAACATTGTTAATCTTCATGGAAATGCAAATCAACACTGCATTCAGATACTACTTCATAGGATGGCTGTAATCAAAAAGATAGTAAGTGTTGGTGAGGATACGGGAACATTGGAACCCTCATGCATTGCTTGTAAAATAGCGCGTGTAAAATAGTGTAGCCATTTTGGAAAACAGACAATTCCTCAAAAGGTAAACATACAACTCATCCACAAACATGTACACCTAATGTTCACAGCGACATTATTCATAATAGTCAAAATGTGGAAACAATCCAAGTGATGATCCATCAGCTGATGAATAGATAAACAAAATGTGCTATATCCATACAATGGAATATTATTCAGCCATAAAAAGAAATGAACTCCTGACGTGCTGCAGTATGAATAAACCTTGAACCCAGTATGCTGCAAGACTCATACTGTATGGTTGCATTTATATGACTGTCCAGAGTAAGGAGGCCCATGGAAAGAGAAAGTAGGTCAGTGGTTCTCAGAGGCTGGAGAAAGGTAGGAACGGAAGGTGGCTTGTAATGGCTGCGGAGTTTCTTTTCTGGGGTGGTCTAAAATTTTAGAACGCCAATGTTCTAAAATTGGTGGTGGTGGCTACACAACTCTGTAAACGAATTTTACGGCATGTGCATTATATTTCAGTGAAGTGAATTTCCACTGAATACTACTTGTCTACCATTCGGTTAAGAAGTAGACCATCACTGTTACCTTTTAAGTCCTCGTTCTTTCCCTGGGAGGGCACATGGTTCAGTCCCTCACTTTGTTCAGGATCCTGCCCACAGTTTACCTCCTCGGAGACCTTCCCAGAGTACCCCACCTGAAGTAGCACCCTTTGCCCACCACTTTATAACTCTATTATCCTGCCTTAAAAAAAAATTTATAATAAGTACCTACTACTTATTTCCAGCACTTTAATCACCTCATGTATTATTATCATTGATTTGTTTACTGCCAGTCTCCTCCCTCTACCCCCAGGTGAGTCTCACCTGGGCAGACGTTGTTTCCTACTCTGTGCTGGGTCCCTAGTGGCTAGAGCAGTGGCTGCCATGAAGCAGGTGCTCACTAAGTGTTGGTTCCCTCTGTAAACATGTCGTGGTTTCAGAGCTCAAGCAGTACTTTCATCTTTCCTGCTTAGTTCTCACGGACTTAGTCCCTGTTCTGAACTCCTCCAATGGTTATGGTCCATACTTTGGTACTAATGTCAACTTTTATGTTAATGTTTGTATATCTTATCTCTCCAGTCAGGCGAGGCCTGTGTCTTTTTTTTTTTCTTTTCCCAGAAAGTCTAGCATATAGTAAAATTAAGCAAATACTCATTAAATTTCAAAACAAACTATTGCTATAGCAGCTTCTTAATCTAATGGTGTTGAGTCCTTAGTTTACTCAACAAATTCATTTAGTCAACAAATATTTATTGAGCAGCTACTATATCTCAGGCACTGCTTAAAGGTGTTAAATACATAGCAATAAACAAAATAGGCAACCTTCCTGCTCTTGTGAAGCTTACAATGTAGAGAGGGGAGACAAAAATAAACAGATCTGTGCATGCTATATTACTTGGTGATAACCGTGTGAGAAAAATAAACAGGGCAAGCAAAGCAGGGAGTGCCAGTGTAGATGCCATGGGAGCTGCTGCTTTACACGTTGTTGAGGGAGAGCCTCTCTGGCTCAAGGAGCAGTCCTGTGGGTTTCTGGTAGAAGAGCATTCCAGAAAGAAAATACAGTAAGTACAAAGGCCCTGAAATAGAGGTAGGTTTATTCTTTTTGAAGAAACAGTGTGGCTGCAAGCCTGAGAGGAGATGGAGTCAAATTATGTAATCCTTGGAGAACACGTAATTGTCTGGGTTTCACGTCACACGAGATTGGGGCCGTTGGAGTTTGATGTAGAAGCTAACTTTGGTGTCGACTTTGGTGACTCCTCTGTGTGGAGTTAGAGGCTCATGTCATGGACAGAAGCAGGAAGACCAATTGGGAGTCCTTTGGAATTATCTGGGTGAAACAGAATGCCAGCTTAAACCAGGCTGGTAGCAGTGCAGGTGGAGAGAAGTGGTTTGATCCAGACCTAATAGCATCTGATGATGGTTTGGATGTGGGTATGAGAGAAAAAGAAGAGTCAAAAATAAGTCCTAAGATTTTTTACTAGTATTTTGGTAATAGAGATGCCATTAACTGAAAGGAGTAAAAGCTAGAGGTTATTTGTTTTGGCTTTTTTTCTCTTTTGGGATGGTGTGGGTTTAGTATATAATCAGTCAGTTTGGGACATAAAGTTTGAGATGCTTCGTTGAAATCCAAGTGGAAATGACAGGTATGTGATTAGACACATTAGTTAAAAGGGAGACCCAGGTAAAACACAAAGCCAGAAGAAACAATAGGATCACCCAAAACATGAGTCTAGGAGAACAAGCCCTCTGACTGAGCCCTGGGGCACTGCAGGATTTGGAGGGTGGGAGATGAGGAATCTGCAAAGGAGACTATAGGACCTATCAGGTGTCGTCGTGGAGGAAGATCAGGAGTGCCCTGCACTGGGGGTTGCGAGTGTACCCGGGAGAGAATGTCACCTGTGTCAGAAGCATCTGACAATAAATCACCTAAGATGAGAATTGATCTCATTAGTTATTTAGGGTCCACCATACCAATCAAGTAATTGCCTAGGCAAAATTAATGAGCTTCTCAAGAAAAGCCCTCTAAAGACTTGTCAATTATGAGAGACTATATATCTGTTAAGGTTTAAGTTTGCAAATTAGAAAACTCAGTGTTTTGAGTTTTTGAGTTATAACTACACTATGTGTGGTGGGGTAGAGTATTAGGAAAGGACTTTAAAGACATTTACCTTCTAGTGCGTCACTAACTTGTCATTATTGTAGATCCTGTTGGTTTTCCACAACAATCACAAGTTCATGGTGCACTAAAAGGTAAGAAGACTCAGATTATGAAAATTAGATAATTCTTCATATCCAAGCGAAAGAAAAGAAAGGACTTTTAACTGAAAATCTGTGTTTCCTGGTGCAGACGTGTGTGTGTGCATGCTCTCTCTGTCTCTCTAAGGCTGAATGTTGAATATTATATTTATTAGGTTAAGTTCCAACTGTAAGCTAATTTACTTGATGTAAATTTAAAGAGCCTTTGAATTTATCTCATTCTGATTGAAGTCAGAGAAGCCCTGTTTACTGAGCTAACCTTGAAATAAAAGGGAAATTAATATTGCAAGTGAATGATTTGTTTATACTGATCATTAACCAGGCTTATTATGCTTATGTTACACACCTGTCAATATTTTAATATTAGATATGGCTTTTCAGTCATCTTAATTCTATTCTTTAGAATGATTTTCCTGATCTATCAATAGATTAGAAATTTGAAAATTGAATTTTAATATCTACCTGCTGCTTTGTTCTAGAATAATGAAAGTATTTTGTATTTGACGTACACTGTATCTCTTAATAGCAAATCTTGCTGAATTTGCTGCCATTGTACATCATTATAGAATGTTGTGACAGCATAAGGAAATGCTACATGGGAGAGCAAAAAATAGTTTAAGATGTGATTAAAAGGACACACTTATCCTGAACTGTTAATGTGATGTGAGATTTGTTTTACAAAGATTTTCTCTTTTATTCAAATGTTGCTAAGGATTTGAAGCGTTCATTACCAGCTGGACTTGGTCTCTCAGAAACCCAAATTACATCTCATGGCTTTGACAGTACCAAAGAGGGGGTTATTGAAGCAGGAGCATTTCAAGGTAAGAGCCCATATATTTTTAAAGATGGGGGGTGAATGATGGGAGTTCATTAAATGCTACCTTTATTAATAAAGCATAAGAATTGAGCCCTTTAATTCAGTGATAAAACACCAATTACAAACATAATCCTTTTCAATTTAAATGATTTAACAAATGTTTTAGTCGCTTCTTCATATAAATAGATCAGTGTACATAATCTCACTGATTATTATATAGAAATTGGTTTTAAAAACAAATAAAAACTCAAGAATTAAATAGTACAAATTTAAATGATTTTATCTAGTAACCACAGAATTTATAGCTGTAAGTCAGTATTGATTTGTGTGAATACATAATTCCTATTTCAAAGCAATTAGGAAAACAAAACTCACTTTTCTGACTATGCATGATATATAGGAGGTCTCTAAGACCACCATCATATTTAGTAATCCGCTAAGAGGACTAACAGGACTCAGTATATGTAGCAGGGGTATCAAACTCATTTTCACCGGGGGCCACATCACCCTCGTAGTTGCCTTCAAAGGGCCAAATGTAATTTTAGGACTGCATAAATGTAACTACTCCTTAACTGTTAAGTGAGAGCTCAGCACTGTCACAGGGTAGAAACAAGGTGCTGGGTGGGATAAAACGAGGTGAAGGGCTGGATTCAGCCCTCGGGCCTGTGCTTGCCACCTGTGATATGTAGTCATACTCACTGCTCTGATAACTTCAGCAAAAGTATACCAAGCACATAGCAAAGGTACTAGGCATAAGCTTGAGAGGGTCTTCTCCCAGTTTAGACACATAGGACGTGCTCAATCCCCCCCAGCAGAGTTGTAACAAATTGTGAACTGTGGCTAACCAGGGATCTCATTGGAGATTGTTCACATGGGCATCCTCTGCCCAGTGTGTACCAAGATTCCAGAGGGAAAGCAGGTGTTGAATGTAGACCATGCTCTTCAGAGAACAGCTTAGGCACAGTGGGACTGTCTTATTCTGGGAATGGAAGGAATCCCACCAAAATTTAAGTTTCCAGACTTCACTGAAGGGCCCATCTTACAAGCTGATCTTTTAAAGAATAAGCAGTTGGACTCTTCTGAGCACATTCCATTTATATGTGTGTTTTAATATGAAGAACAAAGTTGCCCCCTTTTTAATGCTCTTGCCTATTAACAACCTTTTAAAGTACTTTTTTGTTTTCACATAAGCGAAAGAAAATAAAACCATGTGAACATTTGGATGTAAAAAATGTATTTTCTTGACAGAGCTATAGTTAAATTAGTAGCTACGGATTGTAGAATAATGAAGTATGTTAATTTTAATACATTATAATTTCATAAACGCAAAAGAATTCTCTCCATCCCTTGGCAATCCGTAGCCCTCTTGCAGATAATAGTATTCTGAATTTGAGTGAACAAAATTATGAATGCTTAAAGATACAAGGCTCACTTTATATAGTGTGACACCACCATTTTCAGACCAATCCCCAATTTCCAAATTTAAATATCAATATAGAGTAAAACATACTTTTACTATTAAGACATTTTAAGTATTTTCAATGAAATTATTTAGCTGACATTTGGTTTAATCTTCTTCCCCTTAAGTGGAATTATATTGTACAATAATTAAAATCAACTGCCCAATATAAACTGTTATGCATGAGCCTGAGAATGCCAATCCATTTCCTTCAAATTGGAATAAAAATATGTTTCATGATAATGGCGGTAATTTGTGTGTCTTTGAATTGACTTTATAAAACATTTTTTAACACAAACTGCATTTTTAATCAGTCTATTAAAAAGATAACCATTCTGCCATATTCAGATTAATTAAGCATTTATCGGAAAGCTGGTTTAAGCGCCTTCGCTTTAAGGCATCTAAGGGTAAGTTGGGTGAATGTGAGAAAAAGCAGTGTGGTTGAAATTTAGGCAGTAGGTCTGAGGGGAAAACGTCAGAGGAACTGGGGCTGTGTTAACGCTCCGTGAAAATGACTGCCGACTTCCCACTGACTCCGCGCTTCAGCAGTTATTGAAAGAAGAGTATTAGACATTTACTTTTTCATCTCTAGAGCAAATTTAGAAGAAATTACACTTAAATTCAGCCTAACAGAAACAGATGCTGAAATCTGCCTAAGACACGTGTCGTGGAATCATTCATTAATAGTAGAAACCATGATTAAATCAAAGCTCATGAGAGTGCAGTAATATTGCTTGGTATCCAAGTTTTGTTTTAATGGTTTTTAAAATATATATATTTATTTATTATTTAGAGAGAGGAGAAGGGAGGGAGAAATAAAAGGAGAGAAACATGGATGTACAAGAGAAACATCTATCGGTTGCCTCTCATGCTCCCCCAATCGGGTACCTGGCCCACAACCCAGGCATTTTCCCTGACTGGGAATCAAACCGAAGACCTTTCTGTTTGTGGTACATACCCAACACACTGAGCTGCACTAGTCAGGTCCGTATTAATGGGGTTTTGATCATTGTATACATAAATTCATATTCCTAGACTTCTCTTGTTGAGATGAAACAAGTAACAACCCAAATTTAGTCAATTAGAAATATCTTAGACTTTTAAGAGTTATTTTTATTGGATATTAGTGAATGATTTTAGTAACTAATTTAGTCTACATTAGTGATTTAAAGAGTTGAAGATACACAGAAGTGATAATTACCCTTGAAACTAAAGCAAACAGACAAACAAAACAAAACACCTGAAGGACTAGTTACCTCAACACTTTATCTTTTTCTGTTTTAGTTTGGAAAGTTCTTTATCACTTGTTACATATATTAAACAGATCTCATGTTATCTCATGGGATTATTCCTTATACAAGATTAATAAACAGTAATGACTAGAACAACAGCTCTGTTCCTGGAATCATCAAGAAATGGAACTACAGTGGTCATTCTTATTTAACACTGAAATGATAGAAATCCCTGTGCCTTGGATAGTAGTGACATCATCTTTTTTAAAATGATAATCTGGATAACCTGTTCAGGTGTGTTCCACATCAATGAGTAACTTATGAACTGGTGTTTTCTGTATCAAATTTAATAATGAGCATATTATGGTGTGGATTCAGAACTTAATGAGGCCCTAATAAGCTGTTTTAACATCTCTGGGCCTTGTTTCTCTTACAGTTTAATGTCTGACTAGGTGATTTCCCTCATCCCCTCAAGTTTAAATTTTATGGTTTAACAGACTTAAAGAGACAGGTATCCTTCACTTTGAGAAGTGACACCATTGTGTTTAGGTCTATTGCATGTTTGGATTTTAAAAGTTAGATCCAGTCCAATTTAAGGTTTTCATATGTTTAAGTGTCAGGGTGTTATTAAGCTCCGTAAAATTAAGGGACAGTGAATTTTGCATTCCTAATGGGCTCCCAGGCGATATAGTCGATAGGTCTGGTACATCCACACTATGAATGGTAATGCCCCACACTGTGTTACATTTGATATATGATTTGAAAGTTGTGGCTACCATGTCCTTAGAAGGCTATGAGTCATTCACATTTCTGTAAATTGTAATTATAAATTTGGTACAGTATTACATGCCATTTGGATTTCTTCTTGAGCTTTTTTTCATATGTAAGAGTAGCAAGTTATAAAATATTTACTTAATCTTTAAATAATTCAACCATGGCACTTTAATCACATTCTAGTAATCAATGTTAACATAGCAGAGTCTACCTGAAGTCCTGTTTAGACATGTTCTTGCCAAGTTTCTTCTTACAGTTATGTGTTCTCTTTGGTCTTGAGAATATGATGGAAAATTTATACAAGAATTCAACCATATGAATTCCAGTTTTTAATCCTAGTTTTTGAATATTTTAAAGGCAATGTCAGTAAACCTATATTCAAAATGTACAATATTATACTCTGGTTTCTCTTCAGATCGCATAAATCTTTCGCCTTTTACAAAATCTACAATATGTGGAGGAGGGAAAGGATTTTCACAGTTAAATGTCTACCCTTTTCAGGTCCCTCAGCACCACCATTGCCATCTGTTATGTCTCCCAGCAGGGTTGCAGCTAGTCAGCTGGCTCAACAAGGAAGTGATGTAATTGTTCCCGCAGGTATTCACCGCACTGATTGGATAAAGGCCTTCTTGCTACTGCTGCAGCTAAACTAATTTACTCAGTTTCATAATCACTTGCTTTATATTCTTAGGTGTGTGTTATTCTGACTTTTTTAGTGGCTGCTGCTTCTTTTTTCTTTTTTTGTAATAATGAGGGAAAAGATCTTTCTAGCTATACTTATCTTTCTGGCTTTTAAAAGTTATTAACTGTATCTCCGGCTTGGAACTTAATTCACTTTAAGATTTAAAAGCATGGTAAATATTTATTCTTTTTAAATTACCCTTTCTTTGTCCTGGGAAATGTAGGTTCACTTATTTGGTCCTAAACTCTCAGCTTTGCAGCTCTGCTCTGTTTTCAGTTGAACAAGGAAGGAGCCTTCAAACAGTTGGGTTGTTCATTGTTTGGAATGGGTCATGTGAAAGAGGTTGTGTCTTCTTGTTTTCAACCTCAGCTTGCAAGTAGCAGACTGTAACAATATACTATGAAATTTGCCAGTTCTGTCCAATGAAAATTACTTGGGAGAAATTCTATTTATTTGCATTGAATTTACTCTGCACTTTAACATTGCTGGACTATAAAAATAGGAAAAAACTGAACTCTGAATTTCTTTTAATATGAAACATCAACATTTTATTATTTTTTTCTTTGAGAATTTTATCAATTCTTAAATGTTTTATTATATGTATAATATATATTATATTTAATTTTGGATTATGGTAGAGCTGTGGTAAAGGCTGATCTGTCTATAGGAGTGAGAAAAGAAATTTTTGCCAACTTTTAAAAACCATTTTTTAGCACTTTTTCTCTTCTTATTTCTTTTTTTTTTCTTTTTAAGATTTTATTTATTTATTTTAGAAGGGGAAAGAGGGAGAAAGAGAAGGAGAGAAACATCAATGTGTAGATGCCTCTCACTCACCGCCCCCCCCCCCCCCCGGGACCAGACCTGGCTGGCCCCCCACCCAGGCATGTGCCCCAACCGGGAATTGAATCAGTGACCCCTTGGCTCTCAGGCCAGCACTCAGTCCCCTGAGCTTTACCAGCCAGGGCTCTCTTCTTATTTCATTATCCTTTTAACATTATTATAAAGTTTTTATCCCAACTCATTAACATCAGAAATGTTTATGAAATATTTTCTTCTGTGAAGAACATTTTACTGTTAGGAACTACGTAGTTGTAGAGTTGTTTTTATGTCAGGGCATCCTCATGCTGCCTTTAGTAATTACGGCGTTTTTTGAGGGGGGTCTCTCAAGAGAGGAGGTCCGATGTAGGCCTTGTTTTAACCCAGCCTCTCATACTGGTGGTAAAGTATTTTTAATGACTGTTTGATATTTGAATAGTATTTTTAGATCCTCCAAAATCGTGGGAACACTGGATTGTCATCAGGTGACAGTGCAGCGCAGAGTACAGTGAGAGGGACCCGCCGTGTGGGATGTGGCCTTTCAGGTCTTCCTGACACCGTTGTTTAGGGTCAAGGCTTCGAAGTTTAGCTGTGGAGGTGTTTATTGTTCTTGAAGTAAACAGCACATATTTAGAAAACAAGGCTGATTGCAGCTTTTTTTTTTGAGAAGACAAATCATATGGCATTTCTGTTTAATAGAAATATTTTTTAAATTTAGGAAATTTTCTTCCTTGATTTCAGGAAGTTGTATTCCTTCACTTTGTGGGAACCTTTTCATTTTTTAAATGCATGAGTAGTTTAATTTGAACAGCCTCAGTGTTTTGGTTTCTTTCCCTCCTTGTCTTTATCTGGTTTGAGTTTTTATCTTTTGTGTTTATGATCGTGCAGGTGGCCAGAGAACACAAACAAAAAGTGGACCAGTTGTTCTAGCAGATGAAATTAAAAATCCTGCAATGGAAAAGTTAGAACTTGTTAGAAAATGGAGTCTAAACACCTACAAGGTTTGTGCTTATTTAATGTTTCCACCCTAACTGGCTCCGAGAGTTTCTATTTGTATGTTACTCAAATTATTATTTTTCAATTATAAGGACACATAAGAGCACAGTGCCCTCTAAACAAAATACAATTAGTAAATGAAGCATTTTGTTTTATTATTGATTCTTACATAAATGTAATTTAAAAAGCCAGTAGGAAGAGGGTTTTTAAAAAGATACTAAAGTGCCTATTAATTGGTAGATAACACTAATTGAAGAAGAAATATATTGCCTTGGAATATATTTAGTTGCAGAACTGCTGTAGATGTGTTTGTCCCTACATCCCTCTTTTTGATACTTTCTATCAGTGAGTTTCAGCTTTTTTCTTCTCATGACACATACAAACTAATTATTAAAATTCTGTTGCATATCAAAAATGTATATTTTTTGTGGATCTGACAAAAAAAATAGGTGTAATTTTGATGTATTCACACCAGATGGCTATTGTTGTGTTGGCTGTTGTCATCTTTTTATTTGACAAAGTACAGGAAAAGAGGTCAGTGCCATGACTAAATGTCAGATGTTGCCTGTTTCAAAAATTCTTGCAGAACACCAATTGAAAATTGCTGCTTCATAGCAACCGAATGTCAACAGGGGTGTGTTAGTTTTTCGCACCCCTCTGATCGTATTGTAATAACTAAGCATTCACTATAGAGATTGCACCATATTGCAGATGAGTTGGATTTCAGTAGTTTATTAACATGTTTGGTTGAATTGCCTCATAGTACATAATTGGTGGTTATTTTTCTTAGGCTCTCCATTAAGCAAATAAGCCAATTAATCTATACTATTTTTGATGTATTACAAAGAGCTCAAGCCCCAAATTCATTTATTATCTTTGAATCTTAATAGGGACAAGACAGTAGAATTTATAGAATAGTTAAGTGGATAAAAACCCTAGAGGCTCAGGGTACAGCATTTGCCATAATACTTTCTATCTTCATGAGTTGTGGGTCTTTGTAAATGAGGAATTGTCTGTGTTTTTATACAGAGCACATCTCTCTTATGTATGTTTTCAAGAGTAATACAGAAGTGAATTTATTCTTTTAGTTAAAATATCCAAAATCCTCTACAAAAGTCCAGATTTTCTTAAGCAGATAAAAGTGCCCTGAAACAGTCCACATGAATCTTTCCAAAAACTACTTAGCTCATGTCGATGTAGAATTGAGAGAAGCCAATGGTAGAGCATAGGTAAACACACTGCTCATCTCCTTCTGCAACGACAGAATTACAGCTAAAGTACAGAACAACCACTATTCAGAACCTCCTGAGATCTGGCTGCAGGGAAGTCCTGAAGCTAGCAAATTAAAGAAGAAGCCACAACCAGGCTGCTAGGAGGGCCGGAGATGCAGAACGGGCTGGTCCCACACTCATGTGTGGCGGAGGAAAATTGGAAGGGATATCTCGGCTATAGCAGCCCCTCTGAGGAGCAGGGAGTCCCAGCAACACACCAGGTCCCCCATCCCAGGATTCCAGTACCAGAAAGAGAAGTCCCCATAACTTCTGGCTGTAAAATCCAATGAGGATTGAGGTTGAGGAAGATGGAATGCTACTGGAGTCCCAGGCAATTCCTCTTAAAGGGCCCACACATTGTATTACTCACTCCCTCTGAGCTCCAGCTCTGGGACAGCACTCAAAAGGCACCAGAGACATTTTAGGAGGAACTGAATTGTCTAGCATCAGGGAGAGAGCTGGGGGTGGGAGGGTGGACAGATTTCTCTGGGGTAGATGCGCTGGCAGAGGCCACTGTTCCTCTAATGAACCCTCCCCATCAGAGCCAGTAGATAGGCACTGTGGCTGAGATTCCATCAACCTGGGTCATCCTGTTTGCCCCACCCTACCCAGCTTTCAGACCCACCCAAGCTGTTTCCAGTGGCTTTTCCACACTAATGGCCTGTCTTGGCTCATGCTTCAAATTTTCCTAAAATCTCAAATAACAGCATCTGATCTCAGCATGCCCCATACCTCCCACTAAGTAGCCCCAGGCCTGCACTAGCAACAGCCAGCCTTGGTTTGCAGCTTAGCCTTACCTGGCTAAGGTAGACTCCAACCCCAGCACACATAGCAGTCACCTATGGATGAATGTGCCTCATGGTAGGTGGCCCCAGGCAGAACCCAGGTAGCATCTGACCTTGGCCTGTACTTCCCACGGGGTCCCAGAGGCAGTGCATCCAGCAGACAACTTCAGACCTAATACATTGAAGCATCGTCACCCAACCCCCTCCACAAGCAACACACTCACAGAGGACTCAGCGGGCACCAGAGCCTTGCTCTGTTGGGTGGGTCCTTGCATAATTGATCTTCCACAGTGGCCAGAGGTTGGTGGTTGCAGCCAGTCCTTGCAGCCGATGGGCCTAGAGGTAAATCCCTCCCATTGACATGCCAACAGCAATTAAGGCTCAACTACAAGAGAGTGTACACAGTCCACATGAGGAGGTACAACTCTTGTGCCCAGCTTGGGTGATCAGGAAGGCTGTGCCACTGAACCCTATAGGGCACCTACACATTAGGCCACTCTGACAAGCCCAGGAGAGAGAGAGACTCTACCTAATACGTAGAAACAAACACAGGGTGGCTGCCAAAATGAGTAGACAAAAAAACATGTCCCAAATGAAAGAGCAGAACAAAACTCCAGAAAAAGAACTAAACAAAATGGAGATAAGCAGTCTGCTAGATGCAGAGTTCAAAACACTAGTTATAAGGATGCTAAATGAACTTAGTAAGAATAAGAACTTCAGCTTAAAAAGGACCAGTCAGAAATGAAGGATGTACTAACTGAAATGAATAATAATTTATAGGGAATCAATGAAATCAAGAATCAAATCAGTGATTTGTAATGTAATGAAGCAAAAACCCCCAGTCAGAACAGCAAAAAGAAAAAAGAATCCATAAAAATGAGGATAGTGTAAGGAGCCCCTGGGCTAACTTCAATCAAGCCTACCAGCATTCACATCATGGGTGTGCTGGGAGAAGAGAGAGCAAGAAATTAAAAACCTATTTGAAAAAATGCCAGAAACCTCTCCTAACCTGGTGAAGGAAATAGACGTACAAGTTCAGGAAGCACAGAGAGTCCCAAGCAAGCTGAACCTAAAAAAACCCACATGTCATAATTAAAACATTAAAGGCTAAAGACAGAGTCTTAAACACAGCAAAAGAAAAGCAGTTAGCTCCTGTGACTGTCAGCTGATTTCTCAACAGAAACTTTTCAGGTCAGAAGGGAGTGGCAAGAAATATTCAAAGTGATAAAAAGGAAGGACCTACAAGCAAAATTATTCTACCCAGCAGAGCTATCATTTAGAACTGAAGGACAGACAAGAAAAAAGTGAATTCATCACCACCAAACCAGTAGTATATGAAATGTTAAAGGGTCATCTTTAAGAAGAACAGAAAGAAGAAAAAGATAAAAAATATGAATAGTGAAATACCAATAAATACATGTCTATCAACAGTTGAATCTAAAAAACAAAATAAGTAAGTGGAACAGAAACAGACTCATAGAGAACATTTTGATGGCTGCCAGGTGGGAGGGGGCTTAGTGGGTAGGGGGAATGGTGAAGGAATTAGGAAGTACAAATTGGTTGTTACAGAATAACATTGAAAATATAGTCAGTGATAGTCTAATAACTACATATGGTACTAGATAGGTGTGAAATTTATCAGGATGACTTTGTAAGTTATGTAATGCCTAATTACTAATTAATGTCTAATTACTTGAAATTAATTGTCAACTGTAATCGAAAAATAAAAATTATTTTAAAATAGAAAAATGAGAAATGCCAATAGTAGTTGTCAAAAATTGATGCCTACTTACACTGTTCTCATTCAGGACGTTCTACTTAATCATTGCCACTTTTGTTCTCAAGGATGTGGATTCTCCCATTTTGTGTATTGTTTTTTTTCCCCTTTGTATTTCCTCATATCACAACAGTTCACTCAGATACTCACTCAGATTTCTACTTCATCTTAACACTGATTTGATGTACCTAACTAGTCATTAAATGAATTCTGCCTGTTTAATATTTTTTGACTTAATTTCTTTCTTTTCATTCTAGCCTTCCTAGCCATAGTTTATTCATGTCTTTATCACACTCTAACATTACCATAGTAGATTCTTAACGAATTCTTTTGGACTACATATTCTCTGCCTGTGTGGTTCACTCTTATTTAAAATCCATCAGTCGATCTGCATGGTCTTTACAATGGCATGAATCTGACCCCCATCTGCCCTTCCAACTTTTTCTCCTGCTGCTCTTCCACCCATGGGTCCTCTGGTCCATACCAACTTGCCCAGAGACTTCCTCAACAGACTGTGCCTTCTCACACCTCTAAATTTTGTTCTTGGAGCTATCTTTGCCTACTGCTTGAAATTCCCCTTTATGCTCACTTACATTTCACTTGTTTATCTTTCATACTAGACTTAGCTTCATTCACTTATGTATTAAATTTGTTTAGCCATCCCTTTGTGCATTTATTTTTGAAATTTGCCTCTTAACTGGAAATATTCTGTGTCCATACGCTTTGAACCTAATGAATACAAGCCTTATTTCTGAACCAAATTCTAGTAATTACAGAGTTTAATTTTTGTTTATTTGGTTCTTCCTCTCTTGTGCCATTTAGTTTGTCCTTGTTCCTTATTATTTTTTTAAAGATTTTATTTATTTGTTTTCAGAGAGAGAAAGGGAGGGAAACATCAGTGTGTGGTTGCCACTCATGCTCCCCCTACTGGGGACCTGGCCTGCAACCCAGGCATGTGCCCTGACTGGGAATTGAACCAGTGACCCTTTGGTTTGCAGGGCTGCCACTCAATCCACTGAGCCACACCAGCCAGGGCTGTCCTTGTTCCTTATCCTTTTTTTTCCTGTTATATGTGTATTTTCTTTATCTGTTCCTTTTCTTCTGTCTCTTACCTCAGTAATGTATAACCTCAATTGAATCATTATTAGTAAGATTCCATATTTATCTGTCAC